AAAGAGGGCTTAGTGGCTCAAGCCTGTAATCCCAACACTTGGCTCTGGAAGAGGGATCACCACAAGTTCAAGGCCAGCCCGGGCGACATAGTGAGTTAAAGGCCAGCCTGAATGACGGTACACAGTGAGATTCTGTCTGAAAAATTTAAAAAAAAATAAAAATTTTTATTTTTATTTGCACTGGGATGTAGCCCAGTTCAAATGCCCTGGGTTCATTCCCCAGTACCCAAACACATAAAACAAAACAAAACTTTGCAAAGAAGCCGAGCATGGGGGTTGCACACCTCTAATCCCAGGACTATGGGAGGCTGAAGCAGGAAGAGATCAAACCTGAGCCCAGCTTGGGCAATTTAGTAATGAGACCCTGTCTCAAAAATAAAAAGGGCTGGTGATGTAGCTCAATATAAAAACCCTAAGTTTATTCCCTAGTACTGCAAAATAAAATAACATTTTAAAAGCTTTGCAGAAGGAGCTGGAATGTAGCCCAGTAGCAGAACACATGCTTAGCACACCCCAAACCCTGGGCCCAATCCCTGGCATCACCCCAGAAATGATTTAGAAAGAGAGAAAGGAAGAGAGGGAAGGAGAGATAGTAAAAGAAAAATCTTTCAGATTCTACTGAGGAATTTGCAGCACCCTGGTAACCCTGAGCCGCCATGCAGGAGGGGCCTCGTGTCGGTATTCTGTCTCAGAGCTCTAGAAGATCCCACCATCGAGGCATCCCCATCAAGGTGCTGTACAGATGTGAGGCCTTCCAAACCAATCCATTCTGTCCACAGAGTATCAACAAATAACTCATTGTGGTTTTGGTTTTGTTTTGTTTAGAGATAGGATCTCACTATGTAGTTCAGAATGGCCTTGAACTCACTATGTAGCCCAGGCTGGCCTTGAACTCCTGTCAATCCTCCTGCCTTAGCCTCCTGAGTGCTGGAATTACAGGGTGGAATTACAGCCACACTCGGCTGTCAGTGTGTTTTGTTTGTTTGTTTGTTTGTTGAGACTGGACCTCACTATATAGTTCAGGTTACCTTGAACTCACTATGTATCCCACGCTGTCCTTGAGCTTGTAGCGATCCTTCTGCCTCAGCCTCCTAAGTGCTGGGATTATAGGTGTGTGCCACCACACCTGGCAGTCGTGGGTTGATGGCACCTGTGATAGAAAGTCACTCAGTGGAGCCCTATCCAAATTTCTGCCCCATAACACAGCTTATCAGGTATAATACAATTGTAGTTATTGTTACACACACACACACACACACTCGAGATAGTTTGTTTCATTTTGCTGGGGAGGGAACTGAGGCACAGAGAGCTTACTTTGTGCCAGGAACTGTACAAGATATTGAAGATATAACTACCAAC